GGCCACACCGTTGGAACATGTCTGAGTAAAAATCCCCAAGATCTGATCCATTCAGCCTAAAGCATTTGAGTCTGGGTACTCCAGACATGAACTAAGCCATCATAAAGGCAAGCAGCGTGATCGGGTCCAAATTTGCTGCTGACGACTTCCTTGATTTTAGATAAAACCAGGACCAGCTGAATCCAAAAATGCAGGAACCAGTTATCGAAAATCCAATTAAATATGCGTCCTTAAAATCCACAGATGGCAGGAGATAGACACATCATCAAGTCTTCCAGTCGATGAGATATCCAGCTGCGTGCGTGCCAACAGGGTAAATCGGCTCGCCCAAAGCCTGTCTTCTCTTCGAAGAAATGTTGTAAATTGAGATGAGGGACCAACTGGTCGAAACATGTCTAAAATTATGGTTCGGAAGAAATGCAAGAGAGTCTCAGAAGCAGTTTCACAGACAGACAGAGCAGCAAAGCGGAGAGGGAGGGAGAGAAGCATCCGATCTCGTGGGGAGCGAGTGGTGAACTGATATTATTATTGCTAGTATCACTCAACCCCCTGTGAATAGTAAACAGCCATCAGGTGCTAATGATCCATTGTTAGGCTGATGGTCCTTCTTGACCATGTGAGCAGCTGGTTCTGGTTGTCAGCAGCAAACTGGTTGATCCACTCTGAGAAGGTGCTATTTAAGAGACTGAGCTGAATACAGCACCTCAGACTGAGGAAGTCTCTCGGATGAGAGACGAAACGTTTCTACATTTTTTTTGCTTTGTTTTGTTTTTTTGAATGTCCAGAGGACCAGATTGAACTTTTTTTTAGATTTTTCTACCTGGATTATTGAGCATGCATCAGGATACCACCTCTCTTTCTCTATTCAAGACTGCTCTGAAAACACATCTCTTTAGACTCGCTTATCCTTAACTTTGCTGTATGTATTTTATATTCTTTATGCATTTTATATTCTTTATGTATTTTTTATTCTTTATGCATTTTATATTCTGTATGTATTTTATATTCTGTATGGGACTTGTGACCCATCCAGGGTGTCCCCCGTCCCTCGCAGTGATTGCTGGACATGGGCACCGTCGACCCCCGTCAAAATGGAAGAAGAGGGTAAAAGATAATGGATGGATGGATATTCTGTAAGCAGTGTTTCCCTACCATTATACAGGCGGGGGGCTCAGTTCTGTTGACGGGGTGCCCCACCCCGTCAACAGAACTGAGCACCCCGCCTACCAAACTGAACTTGCCCCTCCCACCCCCACCCAGCACTGACATATCACTAAGCTAGCGGCACAAAATATAGGCTCTCTAGCTAAAAAGCCAAAGGCAGCACTCACATTGCCTCTTCCCTCATGTTGAATGCCCCCTCAGACACCGCTCAGACACCCGCTCAGACATGTCTTTGTCTCCCCCATCAGCAAAAGTCATGGATG